TGATTTCTGCCGCTTCTGTTATTGCTGCTGGATTGGCCGTAGGGCTTGTGTCTATTGGACCTGAAGTTGTTCAAGGGATTGCTGCGGGTTAAGCTGTAGAGGGTATCGCTAGACAGCCTGAGGTTGAGGGAAAAATACGAGGTACTCTATTGCTTAGTCTAGCCTTTAAGGAAGCTTTAACAATTTATGGATTGGTTGTAGCATTATCACTTTTATTTGCAAATCCTTTTGTTTAATCTTAGAAATGTGAAAAATACATATTTTTCATATTTTATTGCCTTAGACCTCTTGTGTTCTTTTTCAAATTATATCAAGATTTAACTCCTACAATTACTTATTCGTTGAGAAAATACCCTACGGGAAGGGCTGATTTGCAGATGAGGAATTAGCATACCGACTCGCTTTCATCCTTTCCCGTTCGTAGTCCAAGGGAAACTCTTTTTTTTAGGAGGTGTTGCAACAGCAAGGGGGTAGTTCATACTTTATAACTCGAATATTTTTTGACTCGATAAAAAAAAAAAAAAAAAAAAAAAAGGAAAAGGGGAAAAAAAAAAAAAAAAAAAAAAAAAAATTTAAAAAATTTTTTTTTTTAAAGTTTTTAAAAAAAAAAAAAAAAAAAAAAAAGGTTACATAGTACCAATCGTGCTAAAGTACCAGTTTAAATAGTTACATTTTATATGTTCAATTAAGTCCCTGTTTGAGTCTCATTTTTACCTCATTAAAATGAAAAATATGATCGTTATTCATCACATCAAGTCACAATTTTTGAATTTCTATTTCTGATGTGGGGCCCATAACGGCTCTATTTCTCATTCTTATTTTCATTATAATGTGGTTCAAACGAGCTCTAAATGAGTTACGTGACTTTATATTTTGATGAATCAATCATTTAAGGCCATGCAATTACAACTTAGCCCTTGTTTGATATCCTTAAATGTTTAAAAACATTGTTTTGAATAGTATTTTTTGAAGAATGTGTGGTTAAAATGTAGGAAAATTTTTAAATTTATGTGTGGAATATTTTATTATATGAATGTATAATCGAAAATGAGTATGAGAAATAAATTAAAGAATGCCAGTCACGGGCTCGGATTAGTGTTTAACACTGATTGTGATGAATATCATTGTTCTTTCTAAAACGAAGTAATCAAACGAAGAGGATGGGGCCAAATCATCCCTCCTAATAATTTTCGAGACGGAACGTGAAAGAGTTTTGAGGTAAGACAGGAATTGAAAAATCTCTACTACTGTTTCATTTACTTAATTTTGTATCTTACTGTAACTTTTTATCCTTTCAAATACGATTTAAATTTGAACGATATGAATAGATAAATCAAGGCTAGTTTTGATAATCTGGGATAGGAGCCATGTTCCCCATCCAGCATGCCCAGCTTACAATTCAAGGCGGGACAATTCAGTTCGGGTTGAAGGAAAAAAAATTTGGTCATTCTAGCCAAAGAGTCATTTCAAAATTGGTTTACTTTTATTTTAGGGTGAACGAAGGGGTTTAGGTCATTTTCAATGCTGTATCAAAATCTGAGACAAGTTTTGCACCAAATGAGTAGTGTATAATCATTTTTTTCATTTTTTCGATTATTAACAATTTATTTATTTAAAAAATTATTTATTTATTTTACAACTACATAAATTATTAAATAAATAATTACGTTAAATTTACGAAAAATATTGAATTATTATTGATTACTTAATTATTCACTTGTTTTATGTAGTATGTTAAATTGGCAAAAATATTTGATTGTATTATTAAAATTTATTATAAATAATTACGTTAAATTAATAAAAATAATTACTAAATTTTTACTCCTTAATTATTATTGATTATGTTGACGTCAAAAATTGTGAAAACTAATTTTTATGCCAACTTAAAGAAAAAAGGACCGCTCATATTTAGTCCGAGAGATCAATTTTGTACACTTTATGTTTTTCTGTTTTTGTGTCCTCCCTTGAAGGGAATCATTTTTCACTATATATAAGGGATTTTGTTGAAAATGTGTCATTTCAATCAAACCATCCACTAGTGTTGGGCTTAAACCACATGCCACTGACCTTTTGCTTGATTGGTTAATGAGGCTGATAACCATAACGTCATTGTTTCCTTCAAGTAATGATGGCCCGCAGAGGATAGGGGAACAATCATACATTTCATTGGACGCACAACTTTTCAACCACATATTTCATCAAATTTTATCAAAATCTACCAAAAAATTGATTTTAATCTAAACCAAATATGAGCTCAATATATTAGTAAGATAGCATTACTTTTAGGGAAACACTCCCCCACAATTCCCATACATCACCACTTGTCTCACTTGGGTCCCCTTTTATTTTTTTATTGGATTTTGATCCCTAAACTACTTTTATTGATGCACATAAAGACAAATTGACGGAAATCATTCAACATGCTGCCAAATAGCCTCTTAAATAGTATATGACCTACAACTTTACTACATGTACATCCTGATTTACACTCTAACTTATCGAATTTACACTGACAAAATTTCATATCATCTTTTACATCTCACACATTTAGTTTAACCATCAAAATTTTGCCACATCACCTATCTTTCAACAAGGGTGTCAAACTTCAGTTGAGATCTACTGTCTAATTTTTGCTATTTAATTTGTTGTCCACTCAATTAATTATTGACACGTCATTCTAAATTAACATATCTCTATTTGGTGGGTTAATAGTGAAGTTAACGAGGGTAAATTTAAGATCATATGTTAATTTAGAATGATGTGTTAATATTTAATTGAGCAGACATCGAATTAGACTGCAAAAATTAATCAAACTTAATGTAATACTAGCTTAATTGATATGACCTATTCTTTCGAGATATTGATACCCATCCAATAACTTAAGCTCCCCACTCTTTCTAGTGCCGTTTAAAAGAAAATTAAACGATTTAATCCATTTGTTCTTATGTGCAATAAATGATATTGTTTGGGAACTTAAATACAACTAGAAAATGAATGGAGATCCAAGTGCAAAAAGTAGTAATGTTTGAGGACCATGGGTGAAATTTCCCTTACTTCTATGAATAAAAGGTTTTATAGGTTATCTTTAAAGACAATTGCTCTTAAAAGCCTTTTCAACCCAAAACCGAAGACTAGAGTGTTGCCGAAGTTCTTTGTTATGGGATTTTTATTTTATACATAAATAAAAAATAAAACTGGTCAAGGCCTGAATCAAGCTGTAAGTTTTAATAAAAAATGTATGGTTGAAAAGAAAAAAGAGAAAAATGTATTTTGAAAAAAATGACTACCAAACGGAGTCATAATACAGGACAGATTGCATCCGAATTGCATGTCATAGAGCTTGGACCCCAGCCAGGTGGATATATTATATTTTCATGATTGTCCATGATTTCGAACTGGATATCACTATATGAATCTTAATTGGCATATACTGAAGGTTAATACTCTCTTATTGGCCTTACTCAACTCTAAAAATCATTTGCTGGGAAACCATCGACTATACTTTCATCCACTAGATATATAGAAAATGCTATAGACGTATAGATATATAAAAATTGTGTAGACAGAAAAATAAAAAGATTGAAATTATAATGGGATAGATATATAAAAATCGTGCGGATGTATATTGTTTAAATGAATCAATTTAATAAGAATGATATTGTAATTGATGTGAATGGGAATAATATTTTTTTAAATAAAAATTTAGAATTTTAATAGGATATATATGTGTGTGTTGTGTGTGGAAATGATCTAATGGGCACCGATTCTTAGTTTATGTTAAGCACCGATGACATGACACATCAATTGATCGGTGAATATATATACACACACACACACACACACACGTAATAGCGGCTCCCAAAGATAATTATTACAACCCAACGATTCTGGGTTGATACAATGGCCACTCCAGAAAGCAAACAACATTTAAAATTTAAACAAATCGAATTCTAGAAAAATGAAAAAAAAAGGGGGAAAAAAACTATCGAAAAGTATGAAGAACAAATTTCCAATGTGATCTAACAAATTACATTCCTCAAGCAATTCGCAGCTTGTCACACCGAATAAATCATAAACATAAGCAAATAAATGCATATATATACACAGAACGGCAGACACTTCACAAAAAAGAGAGTTTAAAGACTCGATTGACTTGAGAAGAAAATGCTGGATGCAAAAAACAGAATGTCAAGAGTGTGCGCGCATGTGTTGATATATACATATGCATACACATGTAGGTATATTGATATATACATACACATATACATGCATACATGTGTGCGTATTTGTGTCTTTTGGATAACAAAAAGGCTGGAAGAGTATTAGCCCCTGTTTGAGGCCCATTACCTGAAAATAAAAATGGAGGAATAGTATTTTTTAGAAAAATGAGTAGTTGAAAAAGAATGAAAAGTTTTGAATTTGCGTGTAATATTATTTTATGGTTATCGATTTCTAGAGAGAGAGAAGAAGAAAAATGAAATGTAATTTAATCATTTAATGGGGGTCAAATAGGGGCTAATATTTATACAATTACTGTATTAAATTAAACACGTATAAGCACTGTCCAAGCTCAGTATTTTTATTTTTAATTTTTATTTATTTATTATTATTTTTTTTTTGGTAAAATTAGATATAGTATATGCTTTTCATATGAACAGTTACAGAGATATTCTGGATATTGATTTGATTTAATAGGAATGTAGCACAATGATTTTCAACATTTTTTTTGGGTGGGGGTGGGGGTGGGGGGGACTTTCAAGATAGTGCATCGAGAGTGAATATGGAAATTGTAATTGGAGAGGGATATGCTATACGACAATTTGTTAAGTCAAATGGCTGGTAGAATTCAATCAAAGCCTGATTAAAAGCTTGTTAGGTGAAGTGAGGTTCATGAACTCATTGTTTGCTGTGGTAATTCTTTGTTAATTTGATTTTTCAGTTGCTAGATTTCTCTCTCTATCCCTTTCAATCGAGCTCTTGTACAATCATAGCTATCACAAACTTGATTTGGACATGCTAACCACACTCAAAATAGGGCATTTTGCTAAGAAGGTGCTCCACTAGTGAATTGTACATTCATGTTGACCATTAGCTATAGAACGATAATGTAATGGATGGTGGGTAGATAGAATCATTGCTGAGGAAACTTTTAGACTCTTCATGATATACTATGTTCTGCTAACAAGTTACGTTGAAGCTAAATTTAATATGATTGTCGAGTCCTCCAGCTTGAATCCTATTTTATAGTTCTGTGAGAACTACGAAGTTTTAGTGATATATTTGACAAGCTAAATTAACTAAACTCGGTCATATTAACGAAGAATATAAAAGTATCAGCATATTAGATAG